CATACAATTGTGATGTTTCAGAGAAAGATCATGTTGCTACTGGAAATTTGTATGAAAAATTGCGGTGTGGACAAGCAGATTGTTTATGTATGCTCTGTCCGAAATTTTTAAAACTTCCCTGCCATGGTTTACAAATTTTTTCAACAGGAAGTTATCTGTAGCCAATCAGACGGCACCTTCCGCTTCAACCAGTCACATAAACGTAGACTCATGTGATCAAGTATCATTACATCTACCTGCAGGTCAACCTCAATATGGATTCTTGTAGCTGCTTACCACTGGTAAGTGATACCTCTCTTTTCATGCATGATTCAATATGTTTGATTTATGAATGCTTGCTAAGTTAGTGATGTGGCATTTTACACTAGCGTTAGCTATATAATGCTGATAGACAACTTTATTATTAGTTATTGTAAACAAACATTGTGATTGGTTCTTATAGTAATGACACCGAATAACACATTTCAAACCAACTAGAATACTGAAAACACCTTAGCACTGCCTACTTTAATAAGCTCTGGTCCTTTCACATCCCAGTAGGACAAATACATATATAGTCTATACAGTAGACCTACTGTGCAAAACCTTTAGGCAGGTCTGGAAAATGCCTTGCCTTAAAAACAGCATCAATTCTTCTAGGTTAACTTACACAAGGTCAGGGATTTTGTAGGAATATTGTCAGGCTTATGTATACCAAACAGGTACTAATGATCATGAAATCAATGTGTAGGTTGAAATACAATCAGTAACTGAAAAAGACACAGCTGTGTTATGTTACATGCAGATTAAGGGCAACTAGCACCTCCTAGTGTTTACTTTAAGACTGCTGTCAGCTGAATGTCATTGCTGTATTGGTTAATTGTGATCACATGGATAGGGTCATAGTTCAGACCAGCCATTTTGCAATTAATTTGGGAAAATAAGGTGCTTCAGGACCAAGGGGGTAAGCCACAGTTTGAACAGTGAAGCCGACCAAAGCCTGCATGGAGGGATCCATGAAGGCCCAAAAATGACGTGAAAACCTCCTGACATCCCGTTGCACATGACAGATGTAACCATATTGCTTAGATTATAACCTCTCTGTGAATCTAAAGCTGATGATACACGGAGGCAACTTTTTGAGCATTGTTGCTGGGCAGTCTTGCTGCTGGCAAGTCTGACTATTACTACTGTTTTGAACAGATAGTGGCGGGTGGTGGAAGGCGATTACGGTAGTAATCTTTACTCTTTACCATTGACGGCAACATTGCCCAACACCTTTGCTCTAAAAGTTGCTTCGTGTATCATCAGCATAAAACAACTATTCGGCCATCAGTGACGCTGCGTTGGTGTTTGATAGGTGAGCTTTGTTAGTGGGCTGATTTAACAGTGAAGATCCGAGTCAGATAAACACACTGAGCCATGAAACCTTTTGTTGGTGCAGATATGCAGCTACCAGAATTATGGTGTTTCTGCCGTTGCTCTATGTCATTAAACCACAGTTATGGTGCGCGATCATGCGCAGTAGACGCTGGTCCCAACAGGAAGAAGTAGTATTTTCTTGGTCCAAAACTGGCTTCACTGCTCTCCATTCAAATCTGCGGGGTGGCTTTGTCCAGTAATATTCTGTCTATGTTCAGGAAATCTTTGCTTAAACTTCGACATCCACCTGCATTGACCCCTGGAGAATCTTAGATTGTGAGTTATATAGTTTTTTGACTTTATAGATAAGTATTGATGCATATGTTGTTGTATAAATTCATATATGGTGAGATTTATAAATAATTACATCATCTTTTTGCCATGTGTAGTGCAGCCATCTGTTTAATTTCAGCATGTACATTTCTACACTGTTTTTAGTTACATTAATAGCTTTTTTTGTGTGTTTGCACTTAGTTTCACAGAGTTGTTGGAAAACACTGTAAGAATGCGAGATGATGAAGACAAACAAGTAAACAGCTTTGCTTCCATGGCTCACTCATCTTTTAACCCTTTCAGTGTCTAAGACATCTGTTTAGCTATCTGTCACCTTGTGTAGAGCTACACAAGCAGTGGACAGAATAAGCTGTGTAGGAGAAATAAAACTGGGCGAGGAACAGCCAAACTCAGCTAAAAAGGTGAAGTTCATGAAAACAGTTTACAAGATACAAGGTAGTTATACTGCATCAGCAAGGTCTCTCCCAGACAGAATTTTCAAAGCAGACAGGAGCTGTTTCTCAATCTGTTCTTGTGGACTTGTGAAACGTCATCAGTCGCAGCCGATGTACCGTTCCAATTCAAAAGTGGTGACTTGTGTAGACTTCGTATAGCCAGGTATTCCCGAATGCATTTCGCCGCCAAAAAGCGGAAATGTTGAGGAGAAAACTCACAACTGTAAGTTATAATACTGCTGTTATTGTGTCACGGAATGCAGTTTTACCCTACACTGCCTGGTATGTCGCCTATTGTCTGGCGCAACACATGGGTGTGATTAATCATTCAATATGACCAGATGCCAGCTTTGGTAACCTCATATCTCCGCGCAGAGGCTATACTTGCTCAAAAACAACAGGGCAGTGTTTGATAAATGGCTTCAGTAGGACTCCTCTGCACGGATGCGCCAGCTTTACCCTAACCCTCAAGATAGAGCTGATTTGAAAATTTTGCTCATAATTTTGTGTTTTTATTTCTTGTAGAAGACTGCCAGTATGATTGCTTGTCACTGTTTTTCTCTCACTAATGTTATTAGACTTTTGGGCCAGGTATATTTATTTTCTTTCTTTTTTCCCCCACCATTTTTGGCTAGGGCAACATGCAATATTACCGGCTTCTGTGCAATAATACTGTAGTTTAGTCAGATAGTGGTGGTCTCTGTACATGTTTAGTGACCCTGGTTTGATCCACTTTTAATGTGTTGGTTGCCATGTGGACTTACCAATGTAACTTTTTTATTACTACTAACTGTGACTTTATGCATGTCGTGGTCCTTTTAAAAGATGTTTGTTATTTTTAAAGGTGGAGTTAAGCAGGTCATAACATTATATGAGCCATGAATCTGCACCGTATATATTGTTGATCTTCTCATTGTAGCTGTGACGGTTACAGGGAATTGTAACTTAAGAGTGGGTTATTGTGGAGCTAATTGGGTCTGTATGTTGTCCAGTTCTCATGGTGTTTTTTGTTTAGTTTGTTAATAAAATGTTAAAATTAAGCTTCCAGCCTCTGGTCTGTTAATTCTGGATGTATACTGAATCTACTGAGACTAGAATGGGAATATCGAGAAATACTCATGACCCATGCCAAAACCACATACTACAATAGTTTCATAACTATAGATTGTGCAGCACTGTGGCCATGTTCCATCTTATCAGAGATCACCTTTTACTGTTATGCTGCTATACACACATTATCTGATAAAGTGAAATGTATTAAATGCCTTGGGAGAGACTCTTTTCTTTCCTTCTTTCTTTTAAAGCCAACAGCACTGTAAGGAATCAAATATTGCAACTTCATGACTAAAGTTGCTTTCTTTTCTTTTATTTTCTTCCTCTTTATCCCACCTCCTTTTTGTTTCTTTTTTTTGCGCCTTGTTTTTTTCCAACAGTCTTCATTTTTCCCTCATTGTCTTGATAAATGTTACATCGGGCATTAATGTTTTAGTGCCACATGCAGTTTTGATGAGGACACCACCATTCTCCTGTCTTTTTAGGATACAGTAGCCTATGCAGGCCTAATTGTGCCATGCGCAGTTATCCCTCTTCCCACTTTAATACATAGGGGTAGAGACAAGGAGAGAGAATATGTGTGATGCCAATCTGTGGTTAAGTGTTGTCCTTATGTCGTTGGAGTGACTAAGATATACTTCCTCTAAGTGCAATAAAAGTGTATAATAATACTGTACTGCATGTGTCTGCACGCATGTGTGTTTAAACGTTTGAACACAAGCTTAATATAACCAGGTAATCCTCGGGAAACTTGCTCATCTGTGAAAGTGATTCGGACATTACCTGCCAGTTCTGTGCATGTGTAATGCGAACATCATTACTGCCGGGTTGATTAGTCAGTGATGATTTAAGTGTTTGTCACGCAGCCGACAGTCGCTGCATAAGGCATCCTTTCAGGGTCTGAGTGGAAAACAACCCGTGAAAAACAAAATAAAATATGCATATGATACTTTTGACAACGTTTGACTGGTTAACATTCTGGGTGGATGAACCCAGAAAACAAACATCCAAATCATCCGTCGCCATGTTCTCCTCTTTGATTCTTACCTCGATTTTCATCATTTGAATAGCCTACACAACATGCTGTAAAATGTGAACATTAACAAGTAGTCAATGCTGCTTAATGTAATACAATTTGCAGTGGTTAAAATAATTTTTCAAACGCTCAAACCACAGTAATTAGTAGTATAAATAAATAAATAAATAAGTGTGACTAACAGTCACTTGAACGAATCATTGCAAATAATAACAATTGCAAATCTGGTTGCATAGCCTATATTATAAAGGAAGATGCAGCTTTATTTTGGTACTTTTAGTCTTATCACACAGGTAGCCTATTGTAAGTAGCCTAGTATGCACACATAGACAACATTCAAATTGCCTTAACCCAAACTAAAAACTGTCTCGACTTCATGCATAACTTTAACCCAAACTAAAATGTATTTTCTAATCCAAATTTAATTTCTTATCCAAATGAGGAACAGATGCAGAAAAACATCTGCAAATGATGTTCAGATTTTTGATTCCCTGCCACCGGCAGTTGGTCCTCACAAATGTCTAAACACATACACACACTGACACGGACGCACGCACACAGGTGTAGCTTTCTAGTGCGATGAATCTGCAGATGCAGCCTCACCGCATTTGGCGTGCAGCAGCTGACGTCAGGAGGAGAGCTGAGTGAGAGGAGTTGAAATAGGGCAGAGCAGGAGCGGAGCGGTGAGAGGAAACCAGCCGGAGGAGCCGAAGGATGGCGAGCCGCTGCTGAGAGTTTGGACGCGCCACCCGTCGCTACTAACGCAGCCGCTTCTGATACACCAGCCCGTAATTAATCTGAACCCTTTAAACCCTGCGGAGCGGGAGGTGTGGAGTGGAACTAAAAGAGTGCAGTTTGGACGCGTCGCTGCGAGGAAATCCGTGGCATATTTGCTCGAATTACCTTTCTTTCTTGCCTCGGAATACCACAGGTAAGCTGGCAGATGTATTTACTAATGCGGGATAAGGGCTTCGAGGTTGCTTAAAGGCGTATTTATTGTTTTTTTCACAAGTTTGGTTGTTCTGGCGTTCGTGACGCTGTTTTATCCATCACTATTTGCATTAGGAGTGTGAGTGAATGGAAACTGTAAAGAGGATGACAGTGGCGTGCTTTAATTTTGAATTAGTTTGTGAGTAGCTGAGGAGAAATGCATCAATAATAGAAAGAGAGAGAGAGAAATGGCTCCCGAATTTACGGCCAGAAAGATATGTGTGAGGTGCAGCCTTATAGCGCAGGGCGATGTCAATGACAATTTGTGACAGTGTTTAACTACACTGCCTGGTATGTCGCCTATTGTCTGGCGCAACACGGGGTGTGATTAATCATTCAATATGACCAGATGCCAGCTTTGGTAACCTCATATCTCCGCGCAGAGGCTATAACTGCTCAAAAACAACAGGGCAGTGTTTGATAAATGGCTTCAGTAGGACTCCTCTGCCCGGATGCGCCAGCTTTTCTCAAGCAGCAGAGGGACTGAAATGATAACACAGTGTGACACGCATATACTTCGCTGGGCTCTCTGGCATGGATTCCCGGTCCCAACACCCCCGCCCCTCCTCACCCGGTCCTCACACCGTCAGCCAGTTTCCTTTATCAGGACGCTGGGAAGACTTCATCACATGCACCGCTCATCTACTCACCAGCATGCAAAGTGCAATGACTCTCAAGAATTGGGAGCTGGGGGGATCCTAAACAAGACCAGATTTTCTTGTTTGATTGTGTTAAATGAGCTGCTTCAGCGCTCTCTCATGGGAAAATCCTATCAGTGTCACCAGAGAGCTGGCACAGCGGCAGCAAAGCCTGCGTGACGGCCAGCGGAGTGGGAAATGAGGATAGGTCGGCGCGCACGCTGCCGTGATGGAGCGTTCATTGCAGCGGAGCTCTCCGTGGTGCTGAAAACGCTCCAACCTCTTGCTCCCCTACTCCACTCCTTGCCTTTCCCTCGCGCTCCAGCCTCTCCCTTGGTCTGTTGGACTCTACCCGGAACCAAACACATCCAACAACACAATTATGGCCATTCATCACTGTGCTATCTGTGTAAAAACTGGTTGTAAATCCCAGTCCTTCAGCTTTATGCTGGCCAACAGCCACTCCAACTCTCAACTCAGGCACGTAGCCTCACACACATACATACAGCAGGCGCACATGCAAGGCATGCAGATACCTGAATCAATATATTGCCCTTGCTCCTGAATGAGAATATAAATGGTAGCCTTTCTCAGCTGGATTTGTGTTCAGTGGGGGCTCCAGTAATTTACATTAACATACAACCTTTAGACAGCCTAGTCATTCTTTGCAGGGGGAAATAAGCAAGCATGCATGCAGACAGCAAAAGTGGAAATTTGTGTTCATGGATTCATTTGCATTGGATTCAACATTTGGAATGATTGTGTTTTTCATAACTGACTCAGTAAAGCTGTGAAAGAAAATAATGCCAATGAAAATGTCAGAACAGGGCTGACACCACTTCTTATCACCACTGAGTTTACTTGACTACAATTCAAATACAGTTAAACAAAGGATAAGAGCATTACATTAGCATTATACCAAAACATATATAAACAAGGGATCATAGTAGCTCTGAAATCATAGATGAAGCCAGTTTTCAGGCTTTTCTATACCCTGAATCCTGTCATAGCAGTTCTGCACCCTGGGGTCACAGTCAACGGGCTGAGAAATAATGATGTAGCCCAGAATAGTGTCTCAGTCGGGCTTATTGCAGTTTGCAATCTGGTGGGTAACTTATTAGCTGTCTCACAGAGAGCCATTACAGCACGGTGTCCAGCAGATTATGGCTGCTTGTTGTGCTTCAGAGACAGCCTAATAGTGGGATGACTCACACACTTACAGATTGACACTTAAGACACACTAGCGTATAGCCACGTTAGTGGATGCACACACACACACGCACATATGCACGCCAAAAAAATCTTCCAAACATTCCAGTCATTAGAGTTGAGTAAGGCTTCTGGAGTTTTCTCACCCCTGCTAAGCACTTAAACCCTGCAAAAGCCAGAACCAGCTCAAAGCAGCGTATGTGCATAAATTCATGTGTGCAGTATGTCATGCATGTTAGCTGGATAAAACACAAATTTCAAGGATAGCAATAACAGTCTAATCTCCTCTTGTCTAACCAGGCTGAGGAAACATTTTCACATGCATTCACAGATCTTTTATGATATTCTTATTGGTAGTGTAGCAGTCTATTTAACCCAGTCTCCAGCCTGGTTTTATAAATGTAATATGTCAACACAAGTATGTTATTGAATTTTTGAGTGATACTGGCAAAATATAAGCTGTAGTCAGCGTTTCCTCTCAATAAACTGTTAAACAGTGTCAGTCCACCTTTTATTTAAGTTCAGAGGGGGTGATTTGCTTTTGAGTTTCTTGTAGTTTTTGTTAGAGTTGCTTGCAGTGTTAATGCCAGATCACAGGCAGATACAGTTTGTACATTAAGTAATGACAGAGTGCTAAATATAATATATGCACATACAAAGTAACCGTACCGGGACTTGAAATCAATTTAATAATATGATGAATGTGATACTTTATTGATCCTCGTAGAGCAATGTTCTTTGCCCAGCGTCTGAAAGGTCAGAAGTCAGACTCAGCAACCTGAACAGCAGCAGTTCAGTGACTTGCTCCAGGACATTTCAGCTGAGTGAGTGCTTGCTGACATGAGAGCCTGAAAACAGGTCGCTTTGGTAAAAGCACAGTTTGGCTTCCCACTTGACTTTCCTGCTGCTCACAGATGCTAAACACTAAAAAAGAGGGAGTGCTGGAGATAGATGCAGAAAAAAATGCATTGCCTGCTTTCCTTCTTCAATACAAAACAAGAGCATGCAACACATACTGTATATGTAGCTATCGGAGACATCCCACACGCTACTGCTATTTTGAAGTTGTTTTATATTTTAAAGCTTGTAAACTAAGATCCAGCAAGTAGATGAAAGATTAAAGTTGTGTTTTACAGTAAGTTCATTTAAGTGTATTAGAGAAGAAATAGGATTCAGGACAGAGTAGGATAGTAATGGTTCCTACTGATATTTCTGTACAAGCATTTCATAGTAAGTAGTGGCTCAGAAAACAGTTGTGCCAGTCTATAAGGAAATGTCTTGTGATTTGCACACATGGGCCAGATGTCAACCAAATAGTATTTGTCGCTGAAAATCTTTATTGCTAGAAAGGATAGAATAAGGTTTATTTAAAACACCCAAACATATACTATTTATTATTATAACTGTCATAGATATCTGTTATATATTTAGTTTCAGATGGAGTATACACATAAAAATACTCAGTCGTTTGTGTAACACTGGCTCTTTTTATTTTCCTGTATGCAGAGTAGACGTGGCACAGTCCTTTGTTATAAATTCAAGGTAGACGCTGTAGGCTCTAAACAATTACACATAAAGAGCCCTGGATGACAATTCCATATAGCGTTTAAGTAGAATAAATAAAAATTTTTGTATCAATTATAATGCCCCACTCGTGAACTGTTTAAATCCTTGGCATCACATGGACTGAAGCTCATGCAGAGCTTGTCTAATCAGGAGCAGGATTTATTTCCACACAACAAGGCTGTACCCTGGGGGGAACAGATCCACGTTTCCCTTTTTTCCTTCTTTTTTTTCACATCCATTGACTTTGATTTGTTTGGCTTTGCAAATTTTCCAAAGAGATATAATGAACAATACTCCATGATAAAGGTAAAAATATTACAGATGGTGCATCACACTCTTATGGGCTGACTCTTTTGCCATACACTCAAATCCTGATGGGGCTGACGAGATTAGTTTGAAATTGAACTGATGAAACTCTTTTTCATGGGTTTTGCCGGGGCACACAGACACCGACGCACACTAATACCCAGAGAAATGTAACATGATTAACATGAGGCCTTTGACAATGGGAGGCACTTAATAAGAATGACACTGAAACCGAGGACTACCAGTATCTTGCGCCATTAGATTATATATCCTTTTTATTCCAGAAACACATTACTGTGCTGACCTGATAAGGTCTCTGTACTCCCTGTAGAGTGCAAGGCCACAAACTGTGGGCAACAGAGTTCACTTGAAATTCCGATCACTAATGTTGAACTTCTAGAAATGACCTTTATCACTGCATCCCATATGAACGCAGCAGCTGAGCTCAGAGCATCAGTAGCGCAGCTCTGAGCAAATAGTGCTCCCTGCCTCCTCTGCCTGAATGGAGGAAACTGACGAAAGAGTCAGCAAAGAGGGAGAAATGTATAGAGGGGTCACGGAAAGGTCATCTGGCATATCGGTTTTCTGCTGTTAACTTAGTCAGCCATCTGCCTGTCCCTTTTTTACAGTCATTCTTCACTTCACTTCTTAAAACTGCCAAATTGTGGCTCTTTTGCTCAGAGTTGTCTTGTCATATCGCATTTGGAATGATGTTGCCAGTACAACTGGGAAAAAATGACTTCCATCCCTCACAGTGACACTGAAAAACTGAATTCATTCTGTATTCCAGAGAAGATCTAAAATGTAACAAAAAGACCCACAATATTTAGGAGCCTTCATAGATGCCTTGCTTCGACTCAGATGTGATGGCTGATACTTCCTAACATACTTTCAAAGTATTGTTTAAAAAATCTATTAAGAAGAACCAAACCAATTACATGCGTTTTGTGGGGGTCACTTGTCTTTTTGTGCCTACATTGTTATTTTAAAGGAGTGTGCAATGTATGTGACCTTTTTTTAACAATACTGTTTTCTCTATTGTCCCCTCCTCTTGTGTTGATTGTATTTTGTTTTAATCAGTGTTGTTGGAACATATTATATCGAGAACAATTGTGCTCTGCCTGTTTTCACTAATAAAAAAAAGCATTACACATTTGGAGAGGTGGTTTGATTCAAGGTTGTCTTGAAATGTTACTTAACCCATTTTAGTACATAACCCATT